ACTGCTGGTTACATTTATAGATTTATGTGTGGTTCAGTAGGAAGAGGTTCACTATTAATATCCATATTTACAGAACATTGTATTGTTTTGTGTTGCTGCCTTTTGAGTATTTGTGCAGGTCTGTCAGTGGTTTGTATCACTGTGTACATACGTGCACAGTAATAAACAGCTGTGTCCATCACTGTGTACATACGTGCACAGTAATAAACAGCTGTGTCCTCAGGCTGCAGATTCTGTCCTGTTATTGTCACTGTTCTAGCAGAAGTGTCTCTGCTCATGCTGAACTTGTTCTTTAAAGCATCATTTTTGCTTGTGCTCCCATCATACCACATGGTAAAAATCCAATCCATTTGTTTTCCATCCCGCTGTCTGATCCAGTTTGTTGCATAGCTGCTAGAAGTTAAAGAATAACCAGAGACTCGACAGGTGATGGTCAAAGACTGTCCAGGCTGCACAATCACTGAATCTGCCTGGATGAGATCAATACCGTACACACCTGTGGAGACAGAAATCAGCATTTAAACCATTATTCATTTAACTGTTTAGCATTTCTATTGTATTTAGTGTTGTGAATTCAAGAAATCTTCTCACAGGATGCAGCAGCCAGCAGCAGGATCAGAGCCACTGAGAACATGGTTGATGATGAAGCTGAACTCATCTCTGCAGTCTCACTGGAGCAGTCACAGGCTTAATTATGAGGAAGGTCGTGGTGGTCATTTAAATAAAGGGGCTTTGCATTTACATTTGAAAAATTCAATGTGAAGATTAAGTGACTGGTGAAAAATTGGAAATATGTGTATGTTCTGTATTTTTTTGTTATTTTTTTATGTGATACATTTTCTCTTGTGTTTTTTAACTTGGCTTCTCATTTTCACTCTCATTAATTCTAAAAAAAAGAGCACTGATGTTCTTGCAAATTTCAGATCCTTTTTTTTTTTTTGCCATCTGAGGAGTGAGCCCCAAATGATTCCCACATAAGACAAACAAATTAATTATGCCACCACAGTGGTTTATTACGTGTGATGCTTACATGATCACCTTCATGATGACATTAGGTCAAACAAGAATGCAGGATATAGCTCAGGGAATATGAACAAGTCACAAGAATTGCCAGAGACACACTAGACTGCGAACGTCCAAGTATAGGTTTCCATAAAAATAGGTACAAAAGTAAACAGACTGTGTAGACACCTGAAATAAAGGCTCTTGTTTCTTATATCAAAGCAAACATGGCAGTTTCAGGTGCTTCTTAAACATTGCCTGGACATCGTTAGACTTTTTAAAAAAGATTAGAAAACTAACAGTCTAATCCTTTATTAATGCTTTGTTCTTTATTCACAAT